GATAATTGAAAATATTTCTTTGAGATTCCTGTCAGTTAGTTTCAACCATACTGTTGAGGTTACGAAGCTGTTTTTCACATCAGTTTTGTTTACTTGATGACATTGGAAAGGGAGACTCGACTCACTTACATTACTGTTATTCCCGTTGTTATTGGGATCATTATTGATAGCCAAGATGAACTGAGTTTTCATCTATTTTGGTTTTATCATGTGTGTTTCATCCCCAGCTGCAAGAATTCCACGGATATCTTTCTGTACATTGATCCTATAGCTGAAGTGTTTCTACTTTCTACAATGCTCATTATGAAAGAAAGCATGATCAGTATCACATTTGCCTTTTCCAGAGATGATATCAAGATTTGTTGGTATCTCCTATTCAATTCGACACCAGCACATTTTGTGAATTTGACCAACTTTTTGGTCATACCAATATTACACTTGAATTCCTATTAAGTTTTGTTCTCAAGTGATCTTGTGACGTCATTCAAAAAACTTTGAACAATAGGTAAAGAGCTTCAATAATTGAGAAATCTGAGCAGAAGCCACAGAAAAGGATGAATGTGTTGTCAAGTGTTTTACATCTAAGCTGAAACCACATGAGATGAAGAATATGTTGTCAAATGTTTTACGAACCAGTTATTCTGATGTTGAACCAATGTTGTGATCATATGGTTTCCATTTTTGATCCAAGATGAAGTTTGTATTTTTCAAATTCAAGATTATAAGATGAGATATGATGAAGATTTCTTTCCGCAGATGGAGAGCTGAAATTTTAACCTCAAGAAACTAGTTAAACGACAGGTTGTGGTTAATTGTCTCAACATGATATGGTCCAAGTTGCTTTGTTCGAGAACCAATTAAATGTGGATACATGAAAGGAATTGAGATAAATTCTCCTTATGATGTGTTTTAAGAGTCAAATCAGAACAGACTCTACTCCCCTAATTAATCCCTGCTGAGTCAGGCATATATACATCTACACTATTCAAAGATGATAGATTCCCTTTTTAAAGATGACAGATTCTCTTTTCAAAGATGAAAGCTTTATTGGATTTCTGCACAACTCCAAGCAAAGAAAGTTGGTTTTATCCAAGGCAAAATGGGGCATCAGGGTCATAATTTTGACTACGACAAGAGTTCCACAAGTAAAACATTTCTTCTGAGACTTAAATAAAGCAAAGAAGATGTAAAGATACAAGTTGATCAGATGATTCTGTAGAAATGCAAGCTTGATAGCATAAGTTTCTACACTGGCAATAAATGATGAAGTGAAGGAAGACCAAGTTCACCACTTTGAAGTCAAATGAAGATTGCATCAACATTCATGCATTCATAAGAATATCATTTACACAATAGACAATGCATTACATTGATACATCTGAGTGCATTCAAACATGAAGTTTTACAGATCTTCAGAAGAACAAGAAGATTCATTGAAAAAATACCTTACACGAAGAAGGTATTCAAAACCATAAATACAAGAATCACGCAAACATCTGAAGAAGAGATGGATGCAATCCATAAAAATCAGCCTTATCTTGAGATTGGGGCATGTTACACTATCAACATGTTATTTTGAAAAATAATGAGAAAACGATTTCCATAGTTTCTCATTCAATCTTTTCTAAAAATGAAATTGTTGAAAAGTAAGAAAACGATTTCCTTAGTTTTTTTTACTTATTAAACTATTTCCTACATCTGTAAGTCCTGCAGTGCATGATGTTTCCAAAAAGCCTTCGGGAGCTTTTTGATGTTTTCAAAGCCTTAGGGTCATCTGTAAGTCCTGCAGTGCATGATGTTTCCAAAAAGCCTTCGGGAGCTTTTTGATGTTTTCAAAGCCTTAGGGTCATCTGTAAGTCCTGCAGTGCATGATGTTTCCAAAAAACCTTCGGGAGCTTTTTGATGTTTTCAAAGCCTTAGGGTCATCTATAAGTCCTGCAATGCATGATGTTTCCAAAAAGCCTTCGGGAGCTTTTTGATGTTTTCAAAGCCTTAGGGTCATCTGTAAGTCATGCAGTGCATGATGTTTCCAAAAAAGCCTTCGGGAGCTTTTTGATGTTTTCAAAGCCTTAGGGTCATCTGTAAGTCCTACAGTGCATGATGTTTCCAAAAAGCCTTCGGGAGCTTTTTGATGTTTTCAAAGCCTTAGGGTCATCTGTAAGTCCTGCAGTGCATGATGTTTCCAAAAAGCCTTCGGGAGCTTTTTGATATTTTCAAAGCCTTAGGGTCATCTGTAAGTCTTGCAGTGCATGATGTTTCCAAAAAGCCTTCGGGAGTTTTTTGATGTTTTCAAAGCCCTTTAGTGCATGATGTTTTTAAGACCTCTGGAATGATGCTTTCAATATTTTAGTCTTACTCAAAAGAAGTCAAATGAAAAATTATTGTTTTTTTCGTCTTTGCTATATTCTTGTTAACACAAGAATAAGCAAAGAGGGGCAGCTGTAAACACTAATTTTTCATTTTACTTAAATTATTATTAAAATTATTATTATTATTATTAAATATTATTATATTATTATATTATATTATTATTAAATAATTATTACAAGCCCAAATATATCAGAAGCCCATAACCCTAAACTCATTTACAAAGCCCATTTACAGTAGGCCCAAACCAGAGGAAAATCCTAAAATATTTAGGGTTTTCAACTAGGGTTTCATCATCCCAGCAGCCAGCCGCCTCAACTCACAACCGTTGGATCTGGCTTTGATCCAACGGCCCAGATGGTTCCAACAAAGGAAGCCCTAAGATTTCCTAACCCTAGGTTATCATCCAAACCGCCTCAGCCAGCACCGCCGCCACCTTAGATCGATAATAAACAGCTGTCGCCTATGATTCCAGATGATCCATTCCAGCAGCAGCCACGAAGCCACCCTCTTCGAAGACTCCAGAAACACCACGCCGGCCGTCCACGTCGCAGCTATGGGGTGAGTCACCACATAGTTTGGTGACTCACCAGATAAAACCCTTTGGACTGGTCCGATGAGAGACTCGTCGAGGCTTATAAAAGCCATGGAGAACCTGCAAAATAAAAGGGGAGGAGACAGAGAGGGCACCAGAAAAAAAAACAGAAACGAAGAACCCGAGAGCAAGGGGACACCAACAGAGAGGAAAAAGAGAAGACCAACAACCAGCAAACCAAGAAACGAAAAATAAACGAGAGAACGGGAAGAGACTTACCAACATCGTCGAAGCCTCCACTCGCCACCATACGCCTCTAAAGCACTCGAAAACCGGAGGTGTAAACTGTAGATTTGCTCCGATTTTAAAGAAAACAGAGATTGTATTCGACCTTAGGAGGTCGAGATTTGTAATCTAAGATAATTTGGGAATTTTCGGCCACCGGTGGTGGTGGTCGGCGGTGGAGCTCGTGGCGGCGTATGGCTGCCAGCGGCTCCCAGAATTCCCTCAGACGAGGGAAATATAGAGAGAGATGAGAGAATTCTCTCATAAGAGAGAGAATTAGAAAGAAAGAAAAAGAGAGAAATGGCCTTTGAAGGCCGGTTTTAGGGTATTTGTACCCCCATCGAAACGACACCGTTTTGATGAGGGGCCTAGGCATAATTTCACTAATAGCTAAACCACACGTGCAGTCATCTTAGTTTGTAATCTTTTCAATTTAGTCACCAGAATCGTTTTTCTGGACATTTTAATTTTGTCTTCTAATTTTATTCTATTATATTTTAGTCATTACCAGCTTATATTTATATTTAAGGTAAAATAACCTTTTTAGCCCATATTAGTTTTAATAATTTTATTTTTATCCATTATAATTAAATATGTTAAATTATACTATTAATACATAGTAGTTTATCATACTTCGAATTAGGCCCTTTAATTTTATTAATTAAACATTTTAATCCCAAATAAATAGTTAAGGTTAAATTATGAGGTTAGGACATAGATTTCTTCAATATTTTGAATTAGTATATTTAATTTTAATATTTTATATTCTGTAATTTTAATTTTTTTTATCATTATTTCATTATCATTTATATATATAATTTATTATTATTCTATTTATCATTATTTTTAATTATATAAATATATTTTATTAATATTTATTTATTTACAATATTAAAGAAAATGACAGTCTTAATATATCTGGATGTCCTATTCTGGTATTTTAAATAATTAAATATTATAAAAATTATAATATATTTTTATTTAAATTATTTTTAGGAAAATTTATTACATTTTCAATATTTATTTATTAATATAAAAGAAAAGAGCTGTCTTAAAGCAACTAGAAGTTCTTTTCTAATATTCTTAAATAAATAAATGTTATATTTACAAAACTCTATATATATATATATTTTTTTAATATTCTTTCTTAGAATTATCCGATTTAAATACGAAATAATAAGATCACAAATTAAATACATTTGAATATTTTAAATTTCCAATAATAGAGACAATTTATAATTAAAAAGTATCAATTTTGGGCGTTATAGGGGTGCTAATCATTCTCTAAACGTAACCGACCACGAATCCCTTTTTATTATGAAAAAAGAACGAATTTTTGGTTAAAACACATATCAGTTTATCTTTTAACTGATGTTTTCTTAAAAACTCTTTTAAAAGATAATTTTTTAGGTATTCGACCTATCTGACCCAAAAGGCCGATGGCGACTCCCAAATTATTTTAAAAACCATTTATTCACATCACTTTTCCTGCCAAGTAAAAAATTCGTGTCCGGACGAAAATCGGTTACGACAATTAGAATTAAACTATTGCTGACAGTGAGCAATCTATATGTTAACATGGTTTTTTGACTAATTTTTTTATGTTAAGTATTCGAAATTTGGAAACCACCAGGGCAGGTGGAATAGTTCCCCCTATGAGTGAAAGCAGCCTTTTATTTTATTTTTTGTCTTGTCGAGTCGCCATCCAGTTCAAGTTGTCTGGTCATTCACATCTTATGAATTCTACTCAAATGCATCTCCGATTAAGTTTTCATCGGATCTTCCCATTCGGTGTTTTGGTTTTTTCCTCAGTATGGCCAGGTCGATTATCATACTGTTGGTATCCTTGATTCAACTCTGTTCATTTTCTTCTTCATCCGATGATCATCTACATGAGGGAAAATCATTGTCAGTGGATACCAAAGGAGATGTTTTAATTTCATCAGATGGGACCTTCAGCGCCGGGTTTCACCCCGTTGGCCAAAACGCTTACTCCTTTTCCATTTGGTTCAACAAACCCTCTTGTAGCCACAATTGCACCGTCGTGTGGATGGCAAACCGTGACTATCCCGTCAACGGAAGACACTCGAAGCTCACCTTAACGAAACACGGTAATCTTGTTTTGACCGATGCTGGACGTATCACAGTTTGGGCCACCGACACGGTGTCTCATCTCTCCGCTGCACATTTAAAACTCTACGACGGCGGCAACCTGGTCCTGCATGATTCCACGGGTGCAACACTTTGGCAAAGCTTTGATTCACCCACAGATACTTTGCTTCCGCTTCAACAACTCAAAAAGCACGCCAAGCTTGTCTCATCAAGAAGCCGAAACAACTGTTCTTCGGGTTTCTTTAATCTCTACTTCGATTCTGATAACGTTCTTAGTCTTTTATATAAAGGTCCCGAGGTTTCCAGTATTTATTGGCCAAGCCCCTGGCTTTTGAGATGGGAAGTTGGAAGATCCACCAACAACAATAGCAGAATTGCAGTACTGGATCCTTTGGGCAAATTTAGTTCAACTGATAATTACACCATTAAGTCTGCTGATTATGGTAAGAGGATTCATAGAAGATTGACCATTGATTTTGATGGCAATGTTCGATTGTACAGCCTAAATGAAAGGGAAGACAAATGGGTTGTTTCATGGCAGGCCTACCCTCGACTATGCAAGATTCACGGAACTTGCGGCCCGAACAGTGTATGCAGTTCCAGTCCCAAATATGGTAGGAAATGTTCTTGCATTCCTGGATATAGGATGAAGAATCACACAGATTGGTCCTTTGGTTGTGTACCTGAATTTGATCTTTCTTGTAATGGAGTTGAGGCTGGTTTTATAAGTCTTAGACATACTGAATTTTACGGCTACGAATATGCTATTTATACAAATTACACTGTAGAGATGTGCAAGAACTTATGCTTGGAGCAATGCAATTGCAAAGGTTTCCAATTTAGGTTTCATAAATCCCATCAACCGTATAGTACATACTGTTATCTCAAGTCTGAACTGAGGAATGGCTATCACGAGCCATTTTTTGACGCAGACATCTACTTGAAGTTGCCAAAGACCAAGCTTTCATTGTCCTATGAGCTTGTTCAAGATTACAGCCTTGAATGCTCCGTTCAAGTTGAGCAGCTCACACGAACGTATCACGAAAGCAAGGAAAACGATCCATTCAAGTTGTTCCTTCGGTTTCTATCGAAAAACACTGTTCTCTGGTCTACCTGTGCCATTGGAGGAATAGAGTTTCTAATCATTTTCTTGGTTTGGTTTTTCTTGATTAGAACGTGGCACGAGTCAGATCTAATGGGAAGCTACCACCTAATTGCTGCAACAGGTTTCAGAAAATTCACATATTCTGAGCTTGATAAGGCAACAAATGGTTTCAGGAAAGAAATTGGAAGAGGCGCCGGAGGAATTGTGTACAAAGGCAAACTGCCGGATGATAGAATCGCTGCTATCAAGCGACTCATTGATGCGAATCATGGGGAAGCTGAATTCCTAGCAGAAGTGAACACCATTGGGAAGCTTAATCACATGAACTTGATAGACTTGTGGGGATATTGCGTGGAGGGAAAGCACAGGCTTTTGGTCTACGAGTACATGGAGCACGGATCCTTGGCGGAAAACCTCTCTTCTAAAACACTTGATTGGGAGAAAAGATTTCAAATTGCATCAGGAACTGCAAAAGGCTTAGCTTACTTACATGAAGAATGTTTGGAGTGGATTCTTCACTGCGATATAAAGCCTCAAAACATTCTCATAGGCTCTAATTTCCAGCCTAAAGTGTCAGATTTTGGGCTCTCATGGTTGCTAAACCGAGGTGATGTAAAGCATTCAAAAGTCTCAAGGTTAAGAGGAACCAGAGGTTATATGGCGCCGGAGTGGGTACTCAACATGCCAATCACCTCCAAAGTTGATGTCTACAGCTATGGGATCGTTTTACTTGAGTTGGTCACCGGAAGAAGTCATTCAAAAGGAGTAGAAGGTGAAAGGGAAGAGGTGCAAAGAACGTTAATCAAATGGGTGAAGGACACGATTGATGCGACTGAAACATGGATGGAGATGATAATAGACCCAACGTTGGAAGGGCAATACGACAAGACCGAGATGTCGATCTTGGTGACCGTAGCTCTCCGATGTGTCGAAGAGGATAAAGATGCGAGACCGACAATGGGTGAAGTGGTTCGGATGCTTCTTCAACTTGGAGAAAAGCATTGAGCAAACATATTCATGTTCAATCCCAGAAACATCGAATCTTGGGTTATAAGTTGTAACCAAGCTTAAAAGAATATTTACAATAAAACAATGGGTGTGCATGTAACATAATTTGTCCTCCTACAAAAAGCCCCTTAAAGATTACGAGATTGAATGCAAATAAACAATTTTAAGTTAAATGAATATTAAAATGAATTATATTTATTTTATAAAATATGTAAATTATAATTAATATATTAATATTAAAAATATATTTATAACATTAATTATTATTTTAATTAATATTATAAATAATTAAATTATGAGTTATTTAATTAATGTTCTTAACCCGTTAAGCTCAAGTGACAGGTAAGAGAAAAATACAATAAAGTACACTCAAAATTACTTAATTATGGGTTTGATAATAAATAAGTCATTTTTAAAAAAAATTATAAATATGTCATTCAATTAGAATATTATAATAAATAAATTATTTTATGGTTACAATTGAAACGAATATCTAATATGGGTCCAAACAATTTTAATCCTCAAAACTTATATAGTCTTTCAATTTGGTCATAATTCAAAACAATTCTATATATTTAAGTATTTAAACATCTATATTATTTTTTTGGGTAAACTACATGTTTAGTACTTAAACTATTATTTTTATTCCATTTTAGTATTTAACTTTTTTTTTTACAAAATCATATTTAACATTTAGTTTATGTTTTATTCCATTGTTGTGTGACATTTTTATGGGTAAAGTACATCATTAATCACTTAACTATCTTCTCACTCCTGTTTTGGTCACTAAGGTTTAAAAACTTTCAATTTAATTACTCGAATTGAAAAACTCAACTCGAATTGACTTAGAGTTGTAATTTTATAAAATCGACTCGACTCGAACTAATTTCAAGTTCAAATCGAGTTTAAAAAACAACTCGAATAACTCAAAAAAATTTAGTAATTAGTATATTGATTTTCAAGTTTGAGTCGGAGTTTAAATCAAGTCCCTCAACTTTGTATAATATATTTAAATCACATATAAAAAAATATGAAATATATATATGTATTGTATATGGTTATACAATATCATTTAAATAGGAATCAAATGATGTTATAGTATTTTAAATATTTATTATTAAATTTAAATAAAACTTGAAAAATTGACTCGACTCAAATTTTATAAACTCAAATCAACTCGAAAAAATTTCAAGTCAATTTCAAGTTATAAAATAAGAATCGTCAACTTAAACAACTCAAATTTTTTTGACTTAACTCGAGTCGTTTGAATGCTCAACCCTAAACTATTGTATATATTTTGGGAGTCGGTGAAAAAAATGGAAAATTTTAGCTGTAAATTTATTTTCTTTTCTAAATATGCTGCAAAATGATTTTGTCACGTGCCTAAAATCGCAAAAGCACCTCCTTAAACTTACGTTTACTACCAAACAAAACATCCACTATGCTGATTTTCAGTTTTGCTTTGTGACAGAACACCAGATGATGATCATATAAAAATGGTTTGTGTTGTGTCCCAACTGTCCACCCATTCTTAATTTTTTGCATACTTTTTAATAGCTTCTTTCCACCCATAGATTGAAGAAAATCAAATACCAGCAAGAGAAGTATTGATTTGGAAATTTCTTCTTTTTTTCAAAGTTAAACTTTTATAGGGGTTTTTCTTCCTCTTTACACTGCCACAAAAACAACTAAAGCAACAAAGAAAGGGACTAAACAACTCAAGGAAAGAGAGACATTTTTCTTTTCTTCTCGGATGATTCTTGTTGCTGTCTACTCGAGCTTACTAACACCAATACGCTTAACAGCAGCATTTCGTATAGCTTCAGTTTGCAAGAAAGGAACATTTTGTTCAATCCCGGACATGTAGTTTCTCACTTCTATTCTTATCATCTCTTGCATAACTGCCAAAAACTGCGACTCCATCCTAAACGCCCCGTTTTTCATCTCCATTTGTTTCACCCTTGGAACCGGAGCTGGTACTGTTGCTGGAGCCTCTGCTGGGCTAGGAACAAGGTTGGATCTGGAAACGGATACGGGATTCGGATCTGAGATTTCACAAGGATTGGATCCGGGCAGCGCGAGGGTAAGTAGAGTATTTGGATTAGTTGTGGATGACGCCGTTTCCACATGCTGACTAGAAACGGCCCAAGAACCAGTTCTTGCTAACGGTGTGTAAACCGATGACGCAGCTGGAAAACTTGAGCCACTCACATCGGATCCTGAAGAACTATCGCGGTTCACGTAAAGACCCGACATGTTATTGTCAGCACCAAGACTGGCCGATCTTTTAAGCGGCTGTGCTGAACCATCATTCAAATATCCGGTCACGAAATAGCATTTTCGCTTCAGCATCGAGTTCCAGTGATTCTTAATCGCGTTATCAGTACGGCCATTGAAGAGTCGAGCCATGGTGGCCCATTTGTTACCCAATCGGGCATGGGCTCGGATTATGGTATCATCTTCTTCGGGAGTGAAGGGTCGATGCTCAACCTCGGGGGAAAGCTGGTTGCACCATCGGAGTCTGCACGACTTTCCAGTTCGACCCGGTATCGATCTGCTTATCAAAGACCAGTTTCTGGGGCCGTGCGTCTGAACCAATCGCTGCAAAGCCTCGTCTTCTTCTGGACTCCAGGGACCTTTGATCCGATCAACATCTTTCCTCGTAGATGCCATTGGAAATATTAGAAAAAATCGAAAGCTGAAACAAAATATAAAAATGACAATCTTGTTTGTGGAGTGACGAGAGGGCTGATAAAAGATGGTGGAGATGAAGCCTCGCCTTTGATTAAAGGAAGCAGAACGAGGGGGATGTATCATGTATATACGGGAAGTAGATAAGGATGACTAGCTGAAACGGTAGTTGTGACTAGTCACCGAGACAACGAGTTTTAAAATGAAAACTCATTTCACAATAAATATTTACACTTTAATTTAGCAAAATAAAAATGATTAGTATTTTAAATTTTCTAAAAGAGGAATTTTAGATAAGTATTTTTTATAGAAATTTGAAAATTTTCATATTGTTTTAAATTTTATTAGAAATGAGTTTGGATATTAAAAATTAACTATATAAAATTATAATTATTAGATATTTTAATTTCACAAAATATTTAAGCGGCACAGGCGATTTAATGAAATTTACTAATTAAAAGATTCGAAAAGTTATTATAGATAATTGTCCATGTAATTTCATCGGTTATCAACCTTATAAGAATCAATTTATTGAAACGGATTTAAAACCTTGAAGAAGTTCGAAATTAATTATATATAATTATTCCCAAAATTCCCTTCATTTTTAACTTTAAAAGAATTGAAATAGTATATATGTATAATTATATATAAATCTGATTATTTTGATGGTTTTTCAAATACAATGCAGGATATTAGCACTTGTTATATTTTCAATTTTATTTGAAAAACTTATTTCAAAATATAAATTTATTTTTATATTCTAGATATCTATTATTTATAAAAATTAAACAGTAGTTTTATTATATTTTTAAACACTATCATTCCTTTATTGTGGTTAATTTATCAAATTTTCACATTGAAATTTCCTTTATAATAATACAATTACAAGTATTTTAAACCATGAAATGTTGACATTTTAGAAGTCTACTGAAAAAACAGAAGTTTTGAAAAGTTAAAATCAATACATACGTTAGAGTTAAGGGAATCTTCCATGCGTGGCACTTATTTGCATACAGCTGTAAATATGACGCGCGTCATTACCATGTTTCTTTAACATACACGTATTATCCTTTCAAAATGTGAATTACGTGCTTTTCCAAACCTTGCGACCCGCAAATGGTAATTAAGCCGGGATAGTTAAATTACACCGATTACTATTTAATTATAATTATATATTATTCTGATCACCGATTTGTTGTTTTTATCAATTATATCACATAATTATTTAAGTATTGCCAATTAAGTCACATGTCGTTAACATTTAGTGGAAGAGCTAATGTAGTTGTTAAAAATGTAGTATAATTATATATTTAATCCTATTATTTTATATATTCTATCAATTTGGATATAATTTTAATTTAATTTAATAAATTTAATCTTTAATTATAAAGCGACATGATCATTAATCACCACATAATTGGATTGAAAATAAATTAAAAATAGTTTAGAAGTATAAAAATCTTAATATTATATTTATTTTAAATTTTACATTAACTAAAATTTAATATATAATCTATTAAATTTATTTTAATGGATTAAGTGCTTTCATATTCTTAATTTACCTACGTTTGATACCGCATTTGACCACTTTTACCTTTTTTTCTGCCATTAATTACAGTTGAAGATATATATGAAATGTTGTAAATCGTAGTTAAATATGTGATTTGGGCTACTGAGTAAGGGACATCAACTCCTCATTCCAGTCATCTTATGATATTTTTTCCTGCTATTAATTACAATAGTATATATATATATATATATATGTATGTATGTATAGTGTTGTAATTTATTATTAAATAGTGAGTGTGGTTTAATGATTTAAAGTTTAAGGTTTAGGGGTTGAGAGTTTAATTGGTTATTTTATTGTACTGATTCTCGAATCCTGTCCAGGTTGAAGTGACAAGCACCTAACCGTTGAGGACAAAGAGGAAATGAGTTGAGATGTTTTCCAGGAAAACAGAACCTTCTTCCCTGCCCTGCATTAAGAATTAGCTTTCCCCTAACTCCTAGTAATTAGAAAACACAAAGTTCACATTTCTGAGTTCCAATAAACTGCAAGTTGGGATGGGTCTACCATTATTTTAAATTGCATTCAAAATAAGAGATTAAGGATGCGTTTGGTTCACGGAATGTAAGATTACCAGTGAGAATGTAAGATTACAAGGGAATAAGATTACTGGGAATATTGTATTTTGTGTTTGGTTGGTTTAGCAGGAATATAAGATTACCGTGTTTGGTTAAGAGAATAAAATATTATTAGAATGTATATTTGACCAAATTATCCTTATTATATATAACCAAATTGTCCTTATTATTATATATTTATTTTTTAACAAATTGAAAAATATTTATATATTCTCTTTAAAAAAATTTAAATTCATAAAATTTATATATTTTTTTACAAAATTAAAAATATAAAGAGGTTTAATGAAATGGTAAAATTTTATTTTAACCCCTGAACTTCATATAAAATTTTAATTATAGATTTTTTTTTTTGTAAATCTAAAATAGTTTAAGGATAAATTTGTAATTTAACCTTCGTAGAATTTTTATTATTCAATGACAGAAGAAATATATTTTTGAAAAAAAATTAAGAGTATTTTAGTCCAAAACGCTAGTAATCCAACAATACCTAAGGAAAGGAAGTTGATGGCATTCTCGGAAATATACCCAAAAAATTCACTATTGATAATCTTATATTACCGGGAATGAGATTATCGGCTAACCAAACGGGAGAACGTGGATTCCATTCTCAAGGGAATCGGACATTGCCCGTCCAAACCCCTAAACGCTTCCAGTGATTCTCAAGTACAATGGCCAACCCCAAAAAGAAAGAAGCAAAAAAGTTGTAATTGTTCGTATTATTAATTGCTGAAGATAAGATGCCATGATACAATGATTGTGCTCTGCTCTGCTTTGCTTTGAATCCATGGATGTATTGCCACCATTCAACGAAACGTAAAGAAAATAATATGCAGCCCATCATAACCCGACCACAGCAAATAAAGCAACTCCTATTTAATGCATTGCGATTTAAAGAATTTATATGGATGTTTTATATTCTAAATTATTAAATTAATTTTTTTATTTTTATTATAAAATTAATAAGATAAGAATATGAGGAGGTGACTGAAAAGATATAGCAGGCAGTAATGCCAAAGTTGAATTATATGGTGTGTGCAATTGAAGAATCCAACAAAGTGAGCATGCTCTAAAGGCTTTCACCTCTATTCATTCCTCCAATATTACAGAAAGGGATAGAGGTCGTGGTAGAGGAAGAGCAGATGGTAGCAGACATTTCAACACCAATAATGGATCGCATTCTTCGCCTTGGACCGTGGTGGGGGATGTTAATTTTTATTTGTTTTACCTCATATTTTCTTAACCATATAAATTGAGTTGCTTCAACTTGATGAAGTAAATATTTTAACTTTGGTAACTAAAGGAAAAGGAAAAGTGAGAGTGGCATGGCCTCTTAGGTCAACTAGGCAATTTTAAAACAATTTGACAGTAGTTTCAACCTATCTTCTATATATAAATAGCTATTGGTACTCTGTCAGTGTCATTAAACTCGAGACCTGATTCTTATTTGCATGAAGACAAGCATAAATCAGATTTGTAGCTGGTGAAATATCATTGGTATATGAAAATGAAATGCTTACATTGAAGATGTTGCAAGAAAATGAAAATCCCACACACACATATATATATATATATATATATATATATATATATATATAGAATATGAGAGCAAAAGATAAGAAAACCAGCAACCAAACATCTTTGCTTTCAACATGGTAGTACTGGTTCCTGTGAGATAAATAGACTGAGAGGTAGAGAGCTCAACCTCCTTTTTGCCTCACAGTCTGATGCTTTCCTTCTTGATCTTGGCTCTTCTGGCTCACGCCTCACATATCCAATGTCAAAATCTACTTCATCATAACTTCATCATATATTAAACATAATTATCCTGGCCGGACAAAGCAAAATGGCCGGCCGTGGAGGTGTGACCTATGACATTTCCACCGGCATTCAGACATGGGACGGTGTTGTTCCAACACAGTGCCAACCTGACCCTTCAATCTTGAGGCTGAGTGCGGACCTGGCGTGGGTTCCAGCCCGTGAGCCGATCCATGCTGACATTGATGCCAGGATGACTGATGGGATTGGACCTGGAATGTCTTTTGCCAATGCAGTACTGACCAAGGATCCCAACTCTGGGCCGATAGGGTTGGTGCCATGTGCCGTTGGAGGGACTGCGATAAACCAATGGCAGAAAGGGGAGTTCCTTTATGAGCAGTTGGTGAAGAGAGCTCAGATGGCACAGCAGAGTGGAGGAGTTTACAGAGCAATGCTTTGGTATCAAGGCGAGGCTGATACGCTCAGTCAAGAAGATGCTCAATTGTATGAAGGTAGATTGAAGACATTTTTCAATGATTTACGCTCTGATCTACAAACACCTACGCTCCCAATTTTCCAGGTACCCTTTTGTTTGATTGATTTTTTTCTTCACAAGTGTGTTCAGAAATAGTATCTGCACAAATTGAATGAAGTTATGAGTTTGTTCCTTGTAGTGCATTTAGAAGGGAAACTAATTACCAAGATTGAAATGGATTTATTGTGGATAGTCCTTTTGAATGTTCTTCTGATACAGCAAACGTAAAACCAGGAATCAAGTCTATGGTATTGTAAAAACCTAGATGGTGGACTAAACATTGGTAATCTTGGTTAATAGCTGGCACTAGCATCAGGAGAGGGACCATATATTGAGGAAGTGAGAGAAGGGCAGTTAAATATAAACCTCCAAAATGTGAAATGCGTGGACGCAAAGGGACTACCATTGGAACCAGATAGACTACATCTTACCACTCAGGCCCAGGTGAGACTCGGGGAGATGTTGGCAGATGTATACCTTGGTTTCATGCCAACCTCTTCAACAACTAACAATGCTCCTCCCACCAGTTTTTCTACTTCTGTTCCTCGTGTTTTAATTATTGCTCAAATTTTCAGATGTCTCTGGATGTTCCTCACTTTCTGATAGGGACGCATATAAATAGTCCCAGATGTTGCATTGTTTCTATGTATTCATACT